ACTTTTTTTATTTTGTCCAAACTAATAGTCATGGAAATAAAAATGTTAGAAAGTTAATTTTCGTGTTCGGTTACATGAATTCCCGTTTTTGGCTTACGTATAATAAAATGCAAATATATGCAGTTTATGCATCCAATATACAAACGCGATTAATCTCCTCAAAACTTTTTTATACATGTATTTACTACAATCATGAGTATTGTGGATTAAACACTCTTCGTAAAACTTATCGTTATATTCTTGACAATTGTAACATTCACTATAATAATGCATATTCAAAATATTAGATTGAGTATTTAAAATTTTGATGGTATTGTGTTAAAAGTGGAAACTTTATTTTTAGAGTGTATAGATCGATTTCTATAATGTACATGTACATGTATAACGATACGATAACGAGAATACATGTGTTTTGGTATCTGTTTGTTTGATCAAAATTCGCATTCTTTGTTGGTCACACATATTCAGATTCAAAAATTGCGTATAATTATACCCTATTTCAAGCCCAAATTTCTTTGAACTTATCGTTAAAATGATCTCGTACCATCGTGAACCCACTTAACACATTTTCATCCATGCCATCCATGGTCTCCAATGATACACAGATAGTGCTCAAGATTAAAGAGAAATCCTTTAGACACTGCCAAACCTCACCGGGTCTGATACCATTTGCTTCAGTGAGAGCCTTTTCCTGACCATGCGAGAAGAAATCCAAAAGATATGCGTTCAGATGACGATTGGTTTCCACAAATGGGATACTGTGAGCATCAAGGAATATGTTACTGCGCAGATGCGATGCCAAGTCATAGACGTTATTAAAACAATCACCCTGACCACTAACGATAGCCATGAATGACGAACGGGCTGTAAAAGAGACGCATGTTTGCATAAGCTGGCCAGCCAAGTGGTCGAGATTGGTAAGTTTAGGCGGAAATTGACTCCTTGACAATGGAAGCTTGTTGTCTGGTTCATGGATTGTCTTGGAGAAAGAGATAATATATGTTGAATATATTTGTAGAACACGATCATTATGAGCATTCAAAATTCGCTGGATTGGTTCGGGAATCGGGTCAAGAACGATTTTGGATGGATATTTTTTTCTGAGCTCCGAGAAACAGGTGTCTAAGGGTCGCAATGGCTTCACGTTAAAAAGATTGCAAAGTACGAGCATGAGTGTATCCTTGACATCTTGCGAATTTTCGTTCACCGTTGAGCAGATTTCGTGGAAAACGCCGTGTTTGTACAAAACTGCAAACGCGAAATTACTGGGTTCCGTGTAATAGAGGTGATATACTGCTCCTGCAAGGTTCAATAATTGACCTTTGTAATTGAGTAAATTTTCCCGTATTAGGTACTGGATGGAGAAGTATAGATGGTGTTTGATTTGAGTGGAAAGATGCTCCTTTCCCAAGCAGAAGAATGAATTCCCTAAAAACCCTTTAATGGCCTCTTCGGCATAGTTGGTATTCGTGGATTGCGTCAATAGGAGAAGGCTGCGCAACACCATTGTTGTAGTCAATGGAAAATGGCCGCTTAGTTTTGGTAAATCAGACACGAGAAGCCGTGAGATTTTGGTTCGAGTCAGACCAAAGAAAATGACGTTTCCAACTGGATCGAAGCCTCGACGACCGCTTCTTCCTGACATTTGTCTGCGAGAAGACAAGGTATAAAAATAGGTTGATTGTATGATGCTCAATGTCACTTATTAGTAGCATAAGCACTCGCCTGTAATTCAGTGCGGTCAAGAATACCGAATCGCCGGCAAAAATAACCGTTTTACAAGGCATGTTTATACCTATAAAAGCAAGATGTAAAAATATTCAGATAGTGCCATGCCACAAAAAAAGCCACGAGTGAACGATAGTGGAAACGACGGAGTATTACTCTTGTCTGATAATTAACCTCAACAGCCAGCTCTGAGGTTATCACCACCATGTAAAAATGCAGAAAACACTTAACATAATTGACATACCTAAAGCCAATGTGCCGGTTGCAATTACAACCCGAACATACTTTTTCCGAAACAATATTTCAACCGTTTGCAAATACTTTTTTGGCATTCCTCCATGATGTACACCAATACCCCTTTTTAATGCTTTCCAGAAGGAATTTTTATCATGACCCCGACGCTGACGCTTAATTAGTTCCTCCACTTCTTCATCAGTAATAGATGAATTCGGTGGCACAAAGCTAAACCTCGGATCATTCTTCTCCCAATCAAAGATCTCTGGTTCGTCATCGTAAACCGTTAAATCAGCAACTTCATTGTCATCTTTGTTGCGTCGACCTTTTTTTTTCTTCGATTCCGACATCTTTTTTGAAAACTTTTCTCTAGCTTCGGTTTGCGATATTGCCTTTTTTTTCCGGGTTTGATATTCTTCGTCGTTTTCTCGTATCTTAGCCTCTCTAGATTCTAGTGTTCCAAAGATTTTCAGGGCAAGTTTATTGCAACCGTGACGATCAAAATGAAAGAAGATGGCTGGGAGTTTATCCTGACTGTTGAGTTCGGCGGCTAGATTGAGAATTGAATATTCCAAGAAATCGTCGTCATACATGTCAAATTTTCCCTGCTTTATGCCAACGTGGAATTCGTTCGCTTCGGGTAGAAAACCGCACTCCAGTTTCGAGAATTGGCTTTCTTGAAGGTTCCTGAAATAACTGATAATTTGTTTGACAAATTGCATTTTACCATCATCCATGGTCCAATTCCGGAAGGCCTCCTTTATGGCCTTTTCGTATTCGCTGGCGTCCGCCTTTGTGATTGGTATCTTGTTCCGAAACCAATTGTCTGGGTTCAGTCGGTTTAACATTTTTTGATCTCCACCGCTAGAAACGTCACACATCTTGTCATATAGTTGAAGACATTCATCGGGCAAGATTTTCATATCTGTTGGAAATCCTTTTTCCTTCAGTATTACCCAGGACAATGCGGAACATGGATGAACGGGAATAAAACAATCAGTTGGTTTTGGGTATACAGTCTCGAAAGGGGGAAGTGGCAGCGAAGGAATATAAGCAAATTTCATTAGTTCTGAATATCTCTTATCGCTTTTTATCAGGCGCATCTTAATTCCGCGCAATTTTTGTGCCTTTTCAACCCAACTATGAAATTCATCTGGGTTTCCAACGGTGGCGGATAATGCGAGAATAGGACATTGAGATAGGAGAAGAAGATGTTCCCACACTACACCACCATCTGCTTCGCCTATAGAATGGATCTCATCAAAGATGATCCGGCGGATCTTCGGGGACCAGTCATCGGAACGATTGGGTGACAACATGAGTATCTCAAGCATCTCTGGCACGGTAATCAATATTTGACAATTGTCGTGATTCTCGCGATAATCACGTGTATAAATGCCCCAATGTGACATTCCTGAACCGTTGGGATAGTTTTTCGTAAATCTTCCATACACCTCAGCTGTGATTTGGTTGACAAGTGCTTTAGTAGGTGCTACATAGACAATGATTCCTAAAAAACTTAAAATAATAAATCCTCATCTCATCTCTTAATTGTGTCATAATTGCATTGCATTTCTTATAAACACTGACCTTTATCGTCCTCTCTCAATATCTGTTCCATCGCATAAAAGGCGATGAATGTCTTTCCCGAAGATGTAGGGCAACATACCAACGCAGACTCTTTACGATCAATGATATCTAACACTTCCACTTGCCAAGGGTCTGGTCTGAACGTCTTTATCCTCGGATCATCCACCGCATTTGTATCACGGTCCATCGAGTGACCACCGTATTTCAATTGGAATCGCGCGTCTGAAAGTTCAACCGGAAGATTGATTGGTTTCGAAGGGAATTGAAATAAACACTCTGATTTGCTAGTTTTGGTCTTTGGAATAAATTCGCGAAGCTTTCGTGCTGAAGATTCCATGCCAAGTCGGTCCAAGACCTGCGTTTAATTTATCAATATTAAGACAAGCTAACACTGAGTAAACAAATTTCACCAAGTAACTACCTTTTCCAAGATCTGTTTCACTTCATTTGTCAAGATATTCGAAAATTCGTGAAATATGTTGAATACTTGTCGATAAACGTCCATGGCCTTGGAAAAGTCGGTGCGACCATCACGATTATCCTTATTAAGTTCATCAGCCCAAAATTGTACTTGCAGTTGTAATTTTATGAGCTGCATCTTCATCATTGTCGGAGGATGCTTCAACTTCTCAGGATTTTTCAGGAGCCCCGAGAGCCGTTTCAATTTTTCCCCAGTGCCCTTCAACCTATCGATCTCAGCAGACCATGTGCCTAGAACTCGCTGAGAGTCAGCGGCAACTTTTTCGAGATTTTTTTCCTTATTAGCTTCAATTATGGCTTTCGCTTTATTACCCACCTTGTTTGCCTTAATAGCTTGTTTTCCTTTTTTCTTGGCCTGTTGTTCGGACTGCCTGGCATCTTTTTGATTTTTTGATTTCTTTCTATCGACTGTAATCGTCTGATTGTGTGTAGTACCCAGCGATGTGGCGTAAGACTGCATAAATCGCACGTATTTTTGATAATCTCTCAACCGAGAGTCGTTTCGAATTGTAATTTCATTCAAAGACTTCTTCACATGCCAATGATACTCGTCGACATACTCTGCATTGCCGTTCTGACCATATCTCCCATAATCAATTTCTCCATCGATGGCATCTACCTCATTGCTGTTTAGATTCAGATTATCAAGATATTTCTCATAAAATGGGAATTTAAATGGAAACAAGCGAAGCTCTAGCAGACCATTGGTGTCCCTGGATGTGGATGGTGAAGGAATGACAACCGAGGAACCTGGTAATGAACTATGGATTTTTGATTGGCAATGTTGATATAGAATATCCAATGTCGTTTCGGCATTCTCTTGAATTTCGGATGGTAAGGTCAGATCATGTTCGGATAAAGAAACAAGAACCGCATATAATCTTGCATCAATAAAGTCGCCTAGGTTACAAGCCAATTTAAAAGTCTCAGCCTGACGTTGCCAATGGGAATTCATGAATAGCTGCGCACATTTATAAAACTCATCCAAGAAAGAAACAACCTCGGGCGGTGTGAAGGTCAAGGGTTTTTGAGCACGCGCTTTGAGTGGAAGATAGTCTAATAGCAGAGCATGGTAGATAAAGGCCTTTATAACGCCCTCAGGAAACCATTGATTTAGAAGAATATGATGTACAGAAAGAATTATATAAAACATCCGTTGATTGCCGGAACTTTTAAGTTGGTGGATTGCAGGAACTTCTTTGGGAATATCTATTGAAGAAATGGGGATCGGGACATACGTGGGCAAAACCTTTCGGATCTCTTCCTCAAGATTAGTACACTCTTGTTTGCTTAAAAAATATCCGATCCTGTCGAAAACAAACGCGAAGACACAAGAATCTTTGAAAAGCAGTCCTGGAAGCAGGGCAATGGACACATCTTTCGTTATACAGGAAAACATAAAGGCTTGACAAAAGCATACTAGCCTTTTCGCTATAAGTTTGACATCATTTGATGAACTTTGATCGGAAGATTTTTGATAAGCTGGTGTATTCTGTTGTCCATCATCCAGCAGAACGAACAGAGGTTGCCGTATATCGAGAAATTCATTCCACACTTCGCCCCACCAATCCTTAAATTCGATTAAAGTGACTTCGTTCGCATTTGCTTTTAAATGCTCTATTACAGCTTGCCTGACCACCAAGAACTTGGAATTTTCTCTCCAAATGAATTTATGTGCCTCAAAAAATACTAGATAGAAAGCACAATGTCGGTCAAGAAGATTCGATAGGAATTTTTCGACGAGATACGTGACCCCTAGGAATTGGCTGCCACCTGTTGGATCTGTGAGATCGAGCCAGTGCGTTTTAGGATCGAAGAAAAAACTGAATAATAAGCTGTCTCCCTCAATGATAAATAGTTCGCGACCTCCGAAATCGCCTACTAGGTCGATGTATCTCGGACGTGTACGGTTGTACCATTTCTGTAATTTTCCTTCTAACTTCTGCATATCGATATGAAGTCAACTTCTTCAATATCGATATCGATATGTAAAATTTTGCACTTGTGTGTACCCTAGATTTAGGCTACTTGATTAAAGACGTTAATATATGTAGTAAAATTAGAACCAGACCAGTTAACGATAAACACAACGTTAAGAAATTCGGTTAAGAAAAATTTCTGTATAAGAAAAACGAGCTACATTTGTCGCTATAACTGATCACGTTTAAACTGATACTTTCAGTGAGCCCCCAAATTCGGTTACTTTTTTTTGGTACTCTTCCATTTTGCGTGAGAAAAACTCGCTTTTATTATTATCGTTTACAAAAAAATCTAAAATTATCGTTATGGCTCAAAAGTATTGAAATTCGTTAATTTGACATAGTTTAATGAGATTTGCAATTAGGCGACTTATCTATGCATGTATTTAGAAATTAACGTTAATATCGATATTTTAAATGATCAGAAGAACTAGTTCGGTTCCAAAGTAATTGCTCATTCTGGAGAACATTTTCTTTAGCAATTTTCAAAATTTTTAAAATTGTGAAACTGTTTTAACATAACTAGCTGGACTGGACCTATTGCTATTTATTAGACCTACAAAACTACCAAATCAGTCTTGAACTATATTTGGATTGTGTGAAAATTTTTTGTTCGATGCGTGTGAAGTATAAAATCACAGTCCCTATCGATATGTTCAGTACCCCTAAAAAGTAACGCCCGATTTAAAATTATATAGTAAAATACATATAAACATTTTTTGTTTATTTTATAATTAAAAAAGTTCTTTCAATTTAAAAGTGACATAAATCTTCATTTTTCAAAATAAAATTGATTAGCTTTAAATTTGGAAATAGTTACTAATAGAAATATAAACTTGAAATTTTCAATTTTCATATATAAAGCGTGGGAAATTTTTTTCATATTGTTGCGGTTTCGTTTTTGTTTGGGCGAATTGGGAATTTGGGAAAGGTTAATAAACTGAGTGATGTTTGTTTCGGTATCTAAAGTCTGTGACGATATCTACGGATATCGTCGATATTTGGGGAGAGATTACGTGTCGTGTGTTCGGGGGTTAGGGTTGTTGCTTTTTCTAGCTAAAAGCCTTATACTCTTAAAAATATAATTCCAATCATTGCTCTTTCTAGCTAAAAGCTTTATACTCTTAAAAATTAATTAAGATTACACAAAACGATTTCACAATAATAATACGATTTCACATGAATACATTTCCACGAAAACAATGCCTTTTCTGGTACAAAGACAATATAACGATTAATGTGGGGGGGGAAGAGTTTTACAAGCAATAGTTTACTTAAAGAGAATAATTGCACGCAAGAATTCAAGTTTGATTTTGCTTGGAGAAGAATTGTACACAATGTGAATTCTGTCTTTATCAGTAGCCCGAAGACCGTTCTTTTATACAATTTTTTGTTATTACAAGCTTTTACCAATTGTTACAATAAGAACTATAGCAATCGTAGAGTTCGTTAAAAAGAACACTATACTATCTAAGGGGCACTATATTTCCCTAATAAAGAAATATCACATTGTTTTGCTGAAAAACGTGCTATAACAATTAACAAAAGGGGGTTTCTTTGATGAAAAACGTGTCGAAAACTGATGAGAAAATGCTGCAAATTGATGAGAAACCGATGTAAAAATGCTGATAAAGCGTTGGGGATTGTTGGAGAGTGCTGTAAAACGATGACAAATGCTGTAAATATGTTATACCGAAAAAGAAACTTCATTGTTTTGTCGATGAGTTGTCATGCTATAAGATTTACCGAATGTGGACAGCATCGTCGTCAATTGTGAGGGAATACGCTGTTGTTATGCTGTAAAAGAACCACCGATTGCATTATTGGTTGAGGATATTAAGGTTAGTTTTAGTGTTAGTATTCAGGGTTAGGGTAGGACTGGAGGATGGATTAAATGTAAAATTGTCTTCCCAACAATTTTTATTAGTGCTTCAGGCCAGGTTTACCCATTCGTTTTCCGTATTTGTCACATTATTCGCCTTGTTAATTTTCTTGTGTCGGATTTGTTTTGTCGGGTTAATCAAAAATTTATGCATCTTTATTGGTTGATTTAGAAGACCCGGTGAGCAGTCAACCAATCAGCAATGGAAATTACTTGTATCCAATCGATTAGTAAATGCATGCAATTGTTACCAAAATAGGAAATAACAACCGAAAACAGAGACAGCACTGTTGATCTCGTGATGGGAATTTTATTTTGGCAACTACACCCCACCCACATCAGTGATCTAATTCATTTTCAGCAAAAAGTCGTAGTGTTATCGTAGTAACATAATTTTTCTAATTTGATAATCTTATTTTGATTATACGAAATTCCCTTTTTCTTAATTTTACCATTTATCATCTGATTATTATTATTTTTATCCAATCATATAATTATCTCGCTTTTATTTTATTACCCTAAATCTTATATTTATATTCTAAAAATATCATATTTATTTCCTTTTTCTTATTTCTATATACTTTTATCACCCTAAATTTGAGATTTACAATTTCAATCACAAATGTCCTATATTAATATTAACGTTTCACATATATATAACTATATTTAGTAATACTGTATAGATTAATTAGTTAATACATTTGTAGATCTCTTCTTTTATATTTCAATTCTTCTTTTATATTTATATTACACAAAAATCTTGATTTCAAAATCTT